GACATCATATGTGTAATTTGTGGCACAATTCGAACGGGATCGAAAGATATGTTTTCTCTCTCCATTGACTTAAATACATAATTATTCCGAAATAAGATCCCATGGGTCGGAAGTAGATGGGCGGGACTTCGCCTCTCTATAGCACACACAAAAATCCATCCGTTTTTGAGTGAAGTTAATGTTGGCAGTTTTCCAGTGTGCGAGGCTAAAGCCCAGCTGCTTGTGTTATTTATGTTGTTTGTTGGTATTTTCACATATAGAAACAATATCAACTAAGAGATAAGGGTTAAAAAGCAGTATCGAATGTTAATTCATTGATGCCTTTATTTTATTATTATATATTCGTCCAGTTTATACTGAAGTCAGGAATTGGGTCGCATCCCGTATTCTGTGTCCTAACTTGATACTAAACATTAGTTCAGTTTAATTTAAGTAAAGTCCAAACTGTCAGTATGCCAAATAAATACAACGTTTCTTGTTTGTATATGCTAGACTATAATCTCCCACAATGCCATGCAATAAAGGAAATAGAGGAGCCGCTTAGCTGCACATGATGAAGTGAAACTGTGGATATCGGTTAAGCAGCCACAGAAAGACCAGAGAAAACAAAGCATTACTGTTTTCATCACAGTGTTGCAGCTAATACAATTCTCTTTTTAATGACTTGATATACTGCTGGGTTATTATTTTCTATAGTTATATGTTTGACTCTGCAAACAAACTAAAGTTATCAAATGTTTAGTAAAAATTGTAATATATCCCTCTGAAATGCAGTTTAGTAGAAGTATCAAATGACAAGTAGAAACAATATGCTAACATTAGTAGGCCTATGTCAGCTGTATAGATGTAGTATGTTAACACATAGGGAATATCTACTGTGTATAAGTGAATACTGTGAGTTAGTACTTGTAAACGATCATTTGAGTAATTCACATTTTCTCGTTTAACGACATTCCTTTTTAAAGTGTATAAAGTATTTTTAATGCTGTTTAGATCAGGAGCTGTCCGTGGTGCTGAAGCCAGTCCTGGACTGTCTCTGTCTGCATGTGTTCTATTTTATGGTTTCATTATCATTTTTTAATAAGGGCTCGCTGAGTAAAGAGGACTTAAAGTGATTGTGCGTGTGGAAACAGCGACCTGCACATTTATTGGGTTGTGGAAAATGTGTCAGCTGGTGCGTGCTACATTCATCTGTCGGCGGTCTTCCACGTGAGCGGAAGAGGGGAGCAGAGATGTCGCGTGACGCATTCTTCTTTTTTAATACTTTTGTCACTTCAGCCTCTTTGTTTCATATTTTAATATCGTAGTAAAACAGTAGCATTTGCATGTTAGCCTCAATGCACTTGCTTGAATCCTCCACCTCTCGGTAAACAACACCTCCACCTTCAGTGCACCACACCCACACCAACACACACACCGTGTTTTTATTCCACCTGCATCACTTATTGACCTGGCTTTCATTATCCGGGTCCTTCAGTGAATCTCGGAGGCGGGCCGTGCGGCCTAGTTTTACTAAGTGGACTGACAGTGGCTGATAGCCAATCAGAGAGCAGAGGAGCCTCGAGCTGGTCTCTAGTGACACGCTGACCTGCTGTCTCCGAGTTACCATGGCGACAGGGTGTGATGCAGTGGGGTGAAGGTGTGTTTTTAAGCATCTGTGCGTCTCTAAACACTAAACACAGCAAATGCTGAGATTTCTAATATTAGAAATCCACATATTTTTTTAACATCTATAGCCTGTTTCAAAAGAATCAAATGATTATGAAGGCTGGTCCGTCCCACGGACCTCCTCATGTTTTCATGTGGTCATGGCCAGATTATGAGGCTAGAGCCCATGTAGAAGGTCCCAAAACCCTTGTAAGCTAGGGTGCAACACCTAGACTAAAAGAGATCTGCTTGGGTTTTAAGTTTTTATTTTGCATCTTCTATAGTCGTTGTGTGTGTCTTTATAGTCATGTCTTCTTTTTTTATCTCTAAGTAGTTGTTTTGATCTATTTTTACTATTACAAGATGACTATTCCAAGTCATCTTGCTTTGTTGTTTTTCTGTTTTGTCTCCT